TGCGGGAGATATGATTGCTCTCTATAAAATACATCAGAGGAACAAACATCAGGCAGTGAAAGGACTGAAGTTAAGGGCCAATGTTGGCACAAGAACAAATGGATATAAACTGCCCATCAACAAGTTTAGGCTTGAAATTAGATGAATGTTTGTAACCATCAGAAGAGTGAAGTTCTGAAACAGCTTTCCAAGGGGAGTAGTGGGGGCAAAAACCCTAACTTATTTCAAGACTGAGCTTGATACATTTATGGAGGGGATGTTATGATGAGGTTGCCTACCATGCATATGTCCCATCTGTGACTACTATTAGTAAATATCTCCAATGGCTGGAGATGGGACACTAGATGGGGAGGGCGCAGAGTTACTACAGCCAATTCTTTCCAAGGTGTCTGGCTGGTAGGTCTTGTCTAAATTCTCACAGTCTTAACTGATCACCATATTAGAAGACAATATGTGTTCCCCCTCCCCTGGATCAGATTGGCAGACATGGATGGGGGGAGGCTGCCCTCCCCGGCAGTGTGGCGCACTAGTCACTTGCTGGTTTGAACTAGAACAGATGGTGGATCCTTTGTAACTTGAAGTCTTTAAATGAAGATTTGAGGACTTTAATAACTCAGCCAGAGGTTGTGTATTGCAGGAACTGGTGGGTGAAGTTCTGTGGCCTGTGACATGTAGGAGGTCAGACTAGATGATCATGACAGTCCCTTCGGGCCTTAAATTCTGAGAATCCATCTTTAAAAAGATGGCAGCTCTGGTGCCCATTTACATAGCAACCAACCTTCCAAATCCATGTTTCTGTGCAGCAGGACCCAACCAGCGCTGGGCTAAGACAGTTCTGATTAAGGCTTTCATTGTGGCATTTTGCAAATTTTCCATCGGGGGCTCTTCTGGTTAGCACCAGCAACAGCCATCAGCAGGGGCAAACGCTATCATTTTTATCCAAGACTGTGCTTTATATCCATAATTCAAATAAACCTACCATGGCTGGGGTTGTCTCGAATCTTGTTCTGCTATTTCAGTGCTGACTTCAGGGGTGGTGAGGGGAGGGTCACAACCTGTGCTCCAGGCAGCGTATGGTGAAGCCACACTCCACATCATCTTGTCTATTGCTCATCTCTAATACCATGACTGTTTGCTTTTCAGGGGAGATCCTGTCAAAGATCAATGTTCACTGCCCAGTGTTTGACTATGTTCCCCCAGAGCTCATTACTCTCTTCATCTCCAACATTGGGGGTAATGCGCCCTCCTACATCTATCGCCTCATGAGTGAGCTCTACCATCCTGATGACCATGAACTCTAAGATCTACTGGCATGAAGTGCCTCAGTGTCCAGGCTCTTCCTACCTTGCTCTTTTGGAAGACCCAGCAGCTAAATAAATCCAGGGCTGCAGAGATGGGGGTGACTGTCTTCAAAAGGAAGCATCTGCGTAGAGTATAATGTTTCCACCCTAGCCAAGAGCAGCAGTGACAGATCTAGGCCTGGTTTTGCTTCCACCACTTGTATTACAAGGCACATGGAGCAGTTTTGAATCTATTTGATGTTTGGAACCTGTTGTTGTCATTCTTGTATATCTCCACAGAAGTTCTGGTTCAATGATGGACTGGGTATAAATGGAATTCTCTGTTGCCACTAAGCTGCATTACCTTAGTGTGCTACAATAAAGACTGCTTGTAGTGATCTCTGCTGTTGGCTTTTTTCTATACAAGAATAAAATGCTCATTCTTCAAACAGTAGCAGCATACTGGCCCCAGCAGTGAGCTGCTGTTGTAGCAAGATGGCTATAGTTGCTTTGGTGGATGCAAACTGAAAAGCCTTCTGTTACAAACCAAAGGCTTTAGAGTGCATTCTCTTTAGCTGTCTCTGGCAATATGACAGCTCTTAACAGTGCACAGCAACGCTACATCACAGTTTAGGGTAAGAAGTGAAATATTTCCCCCCTCTGGTTTTGTTTAGACAGTAAAACCTGGTGGGCCAGAATTCTTGTTTTAATTTAGGCACTTAAATCCTGTGTGTTATAGTAATGCCTAATAAGTAGATAGAAATTTGTAACGTGACCCCCTTACTGGTATAGAAATAAACCCCAATCTATTTAGAGCTGCAGGGTGAATTGAAGAGTGGAGGCAGAATAAAATTAGAATTCGAGCAGGACTTCTTATTGCAAGTAGTGCTCTAGGGATCCTTAACTACCTCTTTTCCAGCAACTTCATGTTTCACTGAGAAGATAGCACCTGGCTATATTTTTGAGATCTCCCCTCCACCTGGAGAAAAGGATTGATGTGCTGTGAAAGCCGCAGGCAAGGAAAGAAACAGCTAGCTGGGATTTCTCTGCTATTAGATGCTTAGTCGAATGAAGTGACACTTTTGGTTCTTTGATGGTCTGACTCTAAGTTTGTCTACAAAATCTTGCAGATGGCCTGCACTCACTCCAGACAGATGTGAGCCTGAGGAAAGTGTTGTTGGTTTATTAATAAATACTTAGCCCTCTACACCTTCAAAGTGTTGTAAATACATTAAAACAACCCTTCCCCAATGAGGAGTCCTGCCATTCTCACAAGAAGGGAATTTAACACTTGCAAGTGTGAGACTATTTCTACCCTTGAATAGCCACGTCTAGGCACACAATATAATTTCTGAACATTGAAGCCTCTTCTCTGGGCTATACGAGCCTTCTCCTGCCACATTCCCAGGGATGATCTCGGCTCCTCAGAAGGTCAGCTGTGAAGGTAGTACCTCTGATACCATCCTGGCTCAGGAGTTGCATGCAAGCAGCAATGCTGCTTTCGCGTTGCTGGCTGAAAATATGAGGGGTTGTGTGACATCAACATTCCTGGAGGGTCTGGTTTTTAGCTCACACTTCGAAGCGCTGTCCTTGTTTCCCAAACAGCTGCCAGGCTTGGGCCATTCTCCGCAGTTTAGCCAAATTAGGTTTAGGCTGGTAGGAGAAGAGAGAATTAATGAATTGATACAAAGTTTCATTAAGAGAAAAGGACTTTACTGACCTTCATAGTCCTTTCCCCACACAGAAAGATGCTCAAGTGTTTTATCAAATCTAATTTTAAATGTCCTCTGTGACTTCCAGTTTCACAATCTGATGCAGTGCCTTGGCAGCAGGGTGCATAAAAGTCAAGTTTTTATTAAACATCAGATTTTTTTTTTTAATATACATCTTGCTAGTCCATTGCTTCTCATTTTAGGCTGAGTTGTTTTGTACTTGTTTCTTCCATTAGTTTACTCGTTGTTAGTAGAATTTTAGATTTTACATCTTTTTCCCTTAAGTCTCTCACTTAAAAGCCTCATCTTTTCTGAAAATGAGAAGCCCAGGGCCTCATTAATACCCTCACTGTAAGAACAGAAAACTGATAAGCAAACTGACCTTCCTATATCTGCAACCAGCACCACATTCTGATATAAACTGGCATGAATGAAGAAAGCTGAAATGCTTTGGCAAGGCCATACTCTTCTGGCAGAATTTGAAGTCAATGGGACATGTGCTCATAAGTCACCTAAGTGCCTATAATAACTTGTGTATTAAAAGTCTAAGTAACTTTTCATTGTTAACAGTGAAGCAATTTTGTTTTGAAATGAAAGATTTTATGCTCCTAAGAGAAAAGTTTAATAAAAATACAATGTTTTAACCACTGCTGTTACACTTAAGCATGTTTAATTTTAAGCACTAGTGACCCCATTAAAGTAAACGGAGCTTCTCTTGTGAGTAAAGTTACTCACCAGCTTGTCTGCAGGATCAGGGCCATCCTATTCAATTTAATTTTGTAAAATTCAAATACCCTACTGGAAGTGGCATTTAAGAAAAATAGTTCATTGTATATTTTCATCTGAAGTTGCAATAGTACAAATTTTCAAATTAGTTTTACAAAACCTCAATCCGATTTTAAAAAATCATTCCACCCTGACAGTCAAAATGTTCTCCTGATCTTCAGCCTAGATTTTCTTTCTTTATTTCGTCCCATTCCTCTTCGTTATAACTCCTCATATCATCCTAAATAATTCCACCTTTCAAATAGTAGATTTACCCATCTAGGCACACAGAGCAAATGTACTGTTTCAGGCAACCATTTCCTAAGAAATTGAGTTATGAAAGAAGAGAAAAAAGCAAAAAGTACTGATCTGCTGTGGGATATCCCATGTACTCAACATATTTAGGGAACAGCACACTTAGTAGGGAGCTTTAGAAAGGTGCACATTACTAGTTCTTCCCCCACCACTAGTTGTCCCTTAGCCAAATTAGACAGACTTATTCTCTTCTCGTAAGTCTTCTGCAGTTCCCTGGCCATTTTTTGTTGCTCTTCTTTGAATTCCCTCCAGTTTGTCTTTAGATGAGTTTATAACAGTGTTTCAATTGCAAAGGGTTACCAATAGTATGACTCCCTAAGATGATACAGGATAGCTGAATAAACATTGCCAGTGGCTACTTACCAAATCTGTACAACTTCAGGAAGAAATATTACAGGAAATGGCATGTTAACAGTAGGGTTCTAAAGGCAAATGTGCAATACACCAAATGACTAGAGTCTAAAATAGCATCTGGACATGCTCTTTGTGCCCAGTGAGTCACAGTCTTCATTTATACACAATACCGTGAGGAATAATATAGGAACGGTTAAGGGAGGGACAGGAGTTAGAGGTTTGTTTACATCACATGCGGTCAGTAGTTATTTCAGTCAGGATACCTCTGTTTGTATTAAGTGGTGGATACAGAGTGAGCTGTGTTGTTGGTTAGTATGAAACTTGGATGAAAAGGCTTAGCAAGATTTAACGCATCTTTTCAGACAACCCACCCTGTGGGTTTGTTGCCTCTCTCTGCTCAGCTCTTCACACTGTACCTGCTTTTCCTGCTTCAGGTGGTCTATGTCTGCAAGTGGCATCATGGAAGGTCTCCCATGAGCACACTGGAAAGGCAGCTGGCAAGAGGACAAAGCTTCAATAAGCTGGCAGCTCTCCTCCTTAGTCAAGCTGTCATTAAACTTAATAGCTCCTGAAAAGAGAGGCGAATTATAGCATGTGCTGGCAAGAGTTCAGTTCAGCTAACAAGCCCCCCTCTGGGAACTATGGACAGCATAGCAAGTTAATATGGGGCAGCTCCCACTTCCTCCCGCACCCTGAGACCACAAACCAGCAGCATAGTACACTAGACTTCAGATTTAGCTCCAGTTAATCAGACTTCCCTCAAGAAGCCTTCCTGGCACACACACACACAACCTTTTCCATAGCCTAAGCTGCTTGGTCTAGTCTGAGGCTGCTAGATGGCAGGGCAACTATTTCCTTGCTTCCCAGATGCTACAGTTGTTCCATCTCAAGGCACATGAGCAGCTTCCTCCAGAGCTGAAAACAAGGCCATTCCACAAATGAGGAGCTACCAAACAGAGAAAGACTGAACACCCACCCCATATGCTATTTAGAGATTGAGTACCACCTCAGTAATCATCCACTCTTTCCCACATCTGGGCATTTAATGCAACCACTGCAAATCCAGGCAGGATAGTAAGGTCTCTCTGGTACTTTAATAACCTTTATCTTTCCTAAACACCAGAGGGTGTGAGAATCTATGGTCTCATTTATTTCTCACCTTAGCAGCTTGTATCCTGCAGTTCAGAGATGGCACTTGTCCTGCTCTTCTAGCTAAAAGCAATCTTGTACGCAGTCTGCGACTTGGAGACTCTAGTGATGTGCCATTGAAACAATCCCACCAATCCACATTTGCCCTTTGGCCATGAGGGGAATGTTAATGCACTATGCAACATGTCTGCTGGCATGAAGGGGTTAGAATTACTGCAGCTTGCATTTGTGAGATCTACTCACCTTCTGGGCTTCTAAAAGCCCAGAAGGTGAGCCAGATGTCCATCATGGATCCAGAAAACTAGCACTTCCAGGGTCTCCAGGACACCCTACACTGGCATTTCTACAACTTACCATTTGGGGCAGTCAAAAATGTGCTTTTTGAGAACAGGGCACTCCTCCTGCTCCCACAGAACTGTTGAATTAGAAGTTCTAGAGCTCATATGAATTGATGCACATTAGGGCTCTATTTTGTCAGCATCTCACATCTGAATAGGAATGTGGATAATAGCCACAAACAATGCAAATAGAGGCAGCATGTTCTGTCCTTGGCAGAGCTCTTCAAAAAGAGGGCAACTGCCTCCTGCTACTAGTAGACACCCTGTCTTTAAAAAGTTAGACTTCTGCAACCCTTCAAAGTGCCATATTATTCCAGAGCCCCAGAAAGTACACTGTGTAGAAATGGAAAAGTAGAGAAGTTCAGCTCACTTACCATGGCATGCTTGGGAAGCCAGCACCTTTAGAAAGGTTAGTGGGAGCGTCCCTTGTGCGCCTCCTGTGGTCTGCAATAGCTAAAAGTAGAGAGAGAACATGGTCCAACTTTCCAGTGAGTATGAAAAGGAAAGAATAGTAACATTAGAGAAGGAACAGATGAGGAAGACCTAGTAGGGCCCACCTGGTCCACATCTCCCCACTGTCAATCCTTAAGAGCTAAAGGATGGTATTCTCCCAGGTTTTGTCCTGTCTCAAGCAACAAAACTTTCAGGGTTGCTTGAGAGCTATCCTGACCCACTTCAAAAGAAGAGCACTACTTACCTCAACTTGTTCTTGAATCAACTCCTGAAAAGCAAGAGGCAGAACAATCAATCACTTACTGTTTTTTCCCTCCTCAACTTTCCTCTCTATTGTCCAAACCTGGACATATTTACTGTCTCCAGTTCCAAGTCACTCATTGTGATAAATAATCAAGAAGGATGGGCCAATGATTGGAGCATTAGCCTAGGCAGTGGGAGATCCAGGTTGAAGTCCCCACTCTGCCATAGACTTCCTGTGTACCTCGGGCAAGTCACTTAGTTCCCCTCTCTAAATTGGGGATGATAGCACTTCATAGGGGTGTTGGGAGAATAAATACATTAAAGATTGTGAGTCTCAGGTACTACATGATAAGGGCCATATAAGTACCATAGACAGAAGACCAGCCTGAAGTCACCCCAGCAAACTCCCGAACTTACTACAACTTTTCAGGACTGCACTAAAGGGATAGCAACACACAATTTCCAGAATCTGTTTAAGTCCTAATCTTAAAGCATCTCCCATTAGCTTGTTCAATTACAAGACCAGTAAGAAAGAATGGTAGCTTACCCAACAATGACAGTGGTTCTAAGAGATGTGTTGTCCACATTGATTCCACCTCTAGTGAGCCATTGCCCCATGCATTCAAGATTGGACTCTTTTGGCCTGCAGTGTTCACTGGTGCCACACCTTGGATGTGCTCATGCCCCCTCTCCCCTTCCCATCCAAGGACATAAAGAGCAGAGGCTCGCACAACCATCCCTCAGTTTCTTCGCCAATACAGACCGTAGGTGGTATAGGATTTTCTAGTAACGGGGAAGGTTGTGGATGGGTTGCAGAATCCATAGACAACACATTGTGAAGAACCACAGTTACTGTAAGTAAGCAACCATTGTTTCTTCTGGGAGTGATTATCCACATGTATTCCATTTCTGGTGACTAGTAAGCAGTGACCTCCTAATCAGGGGGTGGATGCTAGAAGTCCTATTTAAATAATGACTGCAGGACAGTTCAGCCAAAACAGGAATCAGATCTTCAGGCCTCAACTAAGAAATAATGTGGGATGAAGGAGTGGACTGATCCCCCATATAGTTTCCCTGCAAATTTCTGGAATTGGTATGCTTTTCAGAGAAGCTCCAGAAGCTGCTTAAGCCCTGGTGAAGTGGGCTATAACTTGCATGGGTGGATCTAAGGACGATCAAAAACCTCACCACCTTCCGCTCTTTAACCTTTTTTCCTCTAACATAAATACATAACATGTATATTTAAAAAAATACCCCAAAAAACCCCAACCCTCTAAAGCCCTACCAACACATGACACTCCACTGCATACACTTCTCTCCCTAAGGAGAGGATAACAAAACAAAACAACACATGACAAATGTTTAGTCACATTGCTTAGTGCACTACTGGAAGGTGCTCAGATACTACAGTGATAAGTTCAGTCTAACCCAGATAGAACCTAGATAGAATAGATCTAATCTAGTTAACTCATGGCATGATTTAATACAATTACATACCCAGTTAGTCTTTAGGTAGATGTTGCCTGACCCTTCACCCTATCTTCAAATGCTACAAATAGCCTCGGGATGCTCTTGAAGGGTATTGTTCTGTCAAGATGACATAAAAGAGCCCTAATCATACCAGCAACATGTAGATTGGCTTCCTCTTGGTTGGAGTGGGGCTTGGAAAAGAAAACTGGCAGATGCATCATCTCATTTAGATGAAAATCCAAGACAATCTTTGGTAAAAAAATTTAGGGTGAGCCTTAAGGATCACTTAGTCTGTAGGGAACACCACGCAAGAGCCTGAATCTCTCCTACCCTTCAAGCTGATGTTATGGCTACTAAAAGGGCTGTTTTTTACAGGTGATATAGAGAGTAAGTTGTGAGCGGGTGAAAAGGGGGTCCGATTAACTCAGCTAAAACTATCCTGAGGTCCCAGAAAGGAAGAGGGTCCCAGACTGGAAGAAAACACAAGAATAGGTCCCTAAGGAATCTAGAAGCTGTATGGTGGGAAAAAATGGTGTGACCCTGCTGGGAGAATGATAAGTTGCTATTGCTCCTAAATGTATCCTCATAGAGCTGATGAATAATCCTATATGCTTTAGGGATAACAGATGATCCAGAACAGAAGGAAAAGAATGGTTCCACACTGTAAGGGGGCACTCACCACTTGAGCACCTCCAAGCAGTGGAGTGTGGTCCACAGTCCGTTTCTCACCCCTGATTCCCCTGAGATTGCCTGACAACCTTGGTAGGTCTTCAGTGGCTTGGCCCTCCAGCCAAGTCACACAGTCCAAATGAACATCCAATAAACAATCTATTTGTCCTTAGTAGAATCTTCAGCCTCAGAACTGGGTCCTTTAAATTCAGCCCTTTGTTCAGGCTCCCAAATAAGCCCTGTCCCCTTTGTGGATTTATTCCATTTTACCTGTGTCCAGTAATGCTATAAACAGCAGCCATATACTCCTTACTTCAAACCTTTGTGGCTACTTCCCTGGGCCTCTTCATACCGGGCCCTTTTATGTTCAGCCCTGCATCCTCAGATTCCTCTCTCTCTGCAGTCCAACTATGTAAGTTCAGCCAGCCATAAATTCTAATTATCAGGCTCCTTGTCCCAAGAGGAACACTCTTCTTCACTTCTCTGCTCCCAGCAAGCTGAACTGCTAAGGCCAGGCAGCAACTTTTATCTGGGCCAGCAGGGCCCTGAGTGGTCGTTTCTAACCCTCTAGCCCTTAGAGGACCAAATTTCTGCAGTTTCCAAAATGGCTGCTCCAGAGAGTCCTCTCTAGGCAAGCTTGGGGGACCCACCCTCACTGCTCTTTTCCCCAACTTACTCTTTCTTGGGGTGGGGCGTAGTAAGACTGCAGGACCCTCAGCAGGGAGCCACCAAGTGCTAAATACATCCCATCACACCCACCCTACAGAAACTATGGTTCTTTGAGATATTGTAGTCAGTGTGGATCCTGTAAGAGCCCATCCACCTCATGCATGCAAGATCAGTCTTTTTGAATAGTAGTGTCTGCACATGCACCCTGTGCCTCCTTGCACTCCCATACAAGGACATACAGGACACAGTAGCCTAAACCCTCCCTCAATTCCCTCACAATTCAAAGCTGGTGTTGCTGAGGACTCCAAAAAGTGTGGATCAGAGAGCAGGCTGTGAGAGCCACACTGACTACATCTTGAAGACCCACAGTTACTGTAGGGTAAATACCTGTTCTCTCTTTTTTGAGTATGTGTTAGTGTGGATCCCACCACAGGTGACTGGCAAGCATTATCCTCTTTAGATGGTGAGACTAAAAGCCAGCTGCATTACTCAAAGATTGAAGTACTACTCTCCCAAACTTGGCATCACCTCTATACACCCACTCAAGTGTGCAATGTTTGACAAAAGTCAGTGGGTTGCTCCACGTTGCTGCTTTTGAGATCTTGGATACTGGCACATTCCTGAAGACACCCTCCATCAAGGCACAGGCAGTATTTTGATGTGTGAAGGGAAAGGCTCACAAGCTAGCTGGTAACAGTGGAGATCCCAGAAGGTCTCTAAGTAGATCATGCAGTGTATGAGATGGCTTGGCCTTTCGACAAGCTAAATATATACATAAAAAAACCAACAACCCAGGGAGACGGTCTACAACATTTAATCCTGTCAAAGTAATACAGCAAGCCTCCAGAAATGTCCAAAGTATGCAGCTTCTCTCTTGGCATTGAGTGTGGCTTCAGGAAGACAACTCATAGGTTAATTGGCTGATTTAGGTGAAATGTCGAGACTACCTACCTTAAGGATGAACTTATGGCGCTAGGGTTCTGAATTCTCAGAACCACTTTGTCCTTGTGAAAGGATAAAGGAGGCCTGGCCATAAAGATTTGGAGCATCCTTGCACTCCATGCTGTGGTGACAGCTACCAGAAAGACTCTCTTAGGAGTAAGGTGATGTACTGAACAATCCATGAGTATCTCTAATGGAGGCTCCATGAGTTTTAAGAGGACAACATGCGATCCCAAGGAGGAGCTGGGACTCCTGCAGGGGGTAAATATCCAAGAGGCCCTTGGGGAATCTCAATACCACTGGATATGAGAAGACTGCATATGACAGTATCAGAGCATGACATGCCAATATAGCTGCAAGGTAAGCTCTGAAACAACTAAATGCCAATCCAGCATGTTTCAAGTGCAATATGTAGTCAAGCATCTGTGGTACCATGGCCCCAACTGGATCCAGAATCTGCTGAATTGCCTATACAGAGAACCCTTTCCATTTGGAGGAGTAGGTATTCATAGGAGATGGTTTCTTATTATGCATGAGGATTTCTTTAACCTGTCAGGAACAGTCCCTGTCAGAAGTGCTCAACCAGCCAAATCCAAGCAATCAGATGCAATGACTGTAGGTCTGGGTGCAAGATCTGACTGTAGTTCTATGATACCGTGTCTGGACAGAGCAGAAGATGGATGGGAGATAAAATGGACATTTGCAATAAGTAAGACAGCCAAAATTGCCTCAGCCAGTCGGGAGCTATTAAGTTCAGTATGGCCTTGTCCTCTCTGATTTTGGATATTAATCTGGACATCAAGGGAATGGAGGGAAAGGTGTTTCGTAGGCTCAGACCACTGTAGAAAGAAGGTGTCTGTTAAGAAGCCCAGTCCCATACCCCCTCTTGAACAGAAGTTCAGGCACTTGGTAATATTTCCTATTGTGAACAGATCTATTGTGGGAATCCCCCAATGGTGAAATATCAGTGCTATGATGGAGGTCTGCAGTGACCACTTGTGACTGCTTGCTGTGTGCTGCCTAAGAAGCCTCTCAGGCTTTAGCGGGCTACTGAAAGGTTTAAAGCCAATGGGATTACCCAGTGGAGATGACATCCAGTCCACAGCTTGATGGCCTCCTGGCAGAGAGGGGATGACCGAGCACCTCCTTGCTTCTTTACATAGTGTATTGTGGATATATTGTCTGTCAAGATCTGCAACATGGAGTCCTGCAGAACAAGCTGGAATGCCATGCAGGCCAGCTAGAAGCCCTGAGCTCCAGGATGTTCACATGCAA